GGGGGCCGTGCCTCCCCCGGCTGCTTCCTCCTGCTGTCCTCCTCCGAGTTAGCTGCTTTCTCCCCAAACAGTCGAGCCGAGAGCCTAATAAGGGAAAAGAATGAGGAGAATCTCCATGGTCCAGCCTCCCCCCGGCCCGTCCGGTAGCAGCAAATTAGGAAAAAAAAAAAAACCAAAAACAACAACCCACGATGAGGGAAATGACGAGTGACTGGAAGCGCCCGGCAAGTCAGGAGTGGACCCGGGCTGTGCCAAGCCAGCGGCTACCCACCCCTCCCGGTGTTTTGGGATGCTATGGTGGCATCACCACCTCGAAAGGCAAAGCCTGGCAGTGGTCACCAGGCCTGGCTGGTAACGAAGCCCTTCTAATGAAGGCAGGACTGAGGATGGGAGACATTGCTCCTCGGCATCCCTTTTCTCCCCATCCAGACAGAAATCCTCATTTCTCCTGATTTTCGTAAATTTTTTTTTTTCCCTTCTGCTTGAGCTCCGGAGCCACTGCTCCTCAAAGGAAAAGCGGTTTCATAGTCAACCTGAGCCGCTAGCAACTGTAATTAGCGATCCTGCTAATTGCCGGCCGAGGCTGGTCTAATACAGACGCGTCCCTCATTCGCCTTTTTAACGCGCTGGAAAATGCCTCCCTGTTTCTTCTCCAGACCTTTGTTTAGTCTCTGCAACATCTTAAGAGCAGGCCGATAACCTGGAGTGCAGGAACGATTTCCTGCCCTAACGAGCTTCCCGTTGGCGGCCCTAACGAAGGGGATACAGCACGGCCGAAGCAGCAGATCTGCCCTGGTATGTTGGGCTCTGCTGGACCCCCTGTTGCCCACCCAGGCCCTCGGTGGGCTCCCTCGGGGTCTCGCTGCCCCTTTCCACGCATGTGGCTGTTTTCAGGCTGGCAACGCATGCTCCCATGCTGGATTTTTTTTTGCTTAAAACCCTGGAAATGAGACCAAAAGTGCCCAGCCGCTTGTGAGGGGTCTCACTGCAACCTGTTCCAGAGGAACCAGCAGTGTTATCAGGCTCGTTGCTCCACGGTTGCCTCAGTCAAGGTTGCTCTCGCCAGGGAAAGTGCTCGTGGGTGAGAAGCAACTATTTCAAAACTAAAAAAAAAAAAAAGCTATTTCAGTAGATTTCTAAATAAAGATACTTTTTTTGGTTTGTTTTTTTTTTTTTTTTTTAATTTTTTTTAGGACAGATTATTGTTGGTGGTGACCTAATGGAAAAATACTGATAGGGTTCTGCCCATAAATTTCCCCAAGTAAACAAACGCTCAGCCCTGTGCCACGGCCTCAGAGGACAGCAGAGAGGATTTCAGTCAGGTTTTCAAGTCGGTCTAAAGTCCGTGTCGGTGTTTGCCTTAAAAGGAAGGAAGGCTGCAAAAATCCTTCGGGATCGTTCCCGGCAGAGCCAGGCAGAGCCAATGCAGCCCACTGTGCTTGTGGGCGACAGGTGAAAAATAAAAACCCCCTCCCCAGCAAGCGACCTCCCATTGGCAGCCCCCAGTCCAGCATCTTGCTGGCAGGGCTGGTGACCAGCACCGCTGTGGCTTTTCAAAGCGGACTTTTGGCTTGTATGGAAAGATGTGCTCAAATGAATCCCTCTCCCCCTCCCCACAAAACCCCCTCCAGATTTGGCGGGGGGAAGGCGAGGTGGGTTTTGCTGGGCACGCTCCTCCCTTTCCCCTGTTTTCTCAAGGTTTCCAGGTGTTGCGTAAAATTGGAGGAAGATGGATCCTCCTTCCCCGAGGTGTGCCGGAGTTGGTTTTTCGGTGGGGTTGAGGGGAGGTCTCCCCCCGCCAAGGGGGGGTTGGCTCGGGCTCAGCGCCCAGGGAAGGTGCGGGGCCACCTATTCCTCACCGACAAAGGCTGCTTTGATACAATGCCTGGAAAGCATTTCTCCAGCGCCTCCGTGGGAAGGAAATTCCAGAAGCATGTGTGGAATCTCCTTTTTTAGTAACTTTTATTTGTAACACATTGCTGCGGGAAAGCTGCTCTTTGCCCGCCAGGCGGTCCTTAAGCTGGCTTCGTTAGGCTTGGCTCATCTCGTCCGGCTTGGCTCCATCCCGAGGCTGCCCAATACAGCGAGACACGCTCACCTGAACCACTTTTTGGGTTCAATTTGATGGCATTTAGCTAACGGGCTCCGAGTGCCTCAGTGCCGTCCTGCTTAGGGCATAGAAGCTTCAGCTCCGGGGGTACAGGTCGCCCCAGCTGGTAGAGGGGGGACCCAGGGGGGCGAGAGCAAGGGCTCAGCCCAGCAAACAGCCCCCGGCTCGGTGCCGAAGCTCTACCGTGGCTGCCCGGTAGCCGTCGGAAAAGAAATTCATGGGACTTGGAAGAGATCCGTCATCTTTTGAGGAAATGAGCTTCTGGGGAGGTTTTGGGAGAGCTCGAAGGCTTTTTATTGCTTTCTGCAACTATTTTTAACTCCTTGGCTGTTTCTATAGCGTTTCGGAAACAAGGACAGGCTTTTGGCGCCGCCGCAGAGATGGGGGGACCTCAGCCGGGGCCGTGGACGAGCTTGGGGGCTGTGGCGCGTCAGCTCAGCACGCCGGGCAGCCTCAAAAAGCACCGGAGAGGCCACGTGCCGAAAGGCAACCATCCCCACGGCTGGCTGTGACAGCTCCTTGGCCAGCAGCAGCAGCCTGATGTATCACGCAGCGGCTCGACCCTGGCGCCGCACGGTTTACTATTTTTACGCAGAGCAGCATCCTTGTAAAACCGGAGCCATACGAGCGAGCACCTCGACGGGGCTGAATCGCTCCAAACATAAAGTGGAAAAATTCCTTCAGAGGTGGAGTTTTATTCCTGTTTTTACGCTTGGTGTGTTGGTTGGGTTTTTTTTAGCAGCTGCGTACGGGTGGGTTTTGCCACGCTGGGCATGATTCAGCTCTTGACTTGCCTTTTCCACGTGCCGGGGCTCGCTTCGCAGCTGGTCTCTCCATCAAGTTTCCCCCGGCTGGCATCGCGGCACGCTCCGGCGAGCTCGCCTTGTTTGGTGACAACACCCGGGCACGCCTGGCAGAGGCATGCAGCGGCGTATGACTGTCATTGCTGAGCGGTTGTTCAGGGATGTCTGATGGGCCAAGGTCCTGATAAGCAGCCTGGGAACACCCTCTCTGGCTGCAGGTTTACCTCTCTCCTGCCCTTATACGGCCATCTTCTCTCTCCTTGCTGCTGGGATGCCGAGGTAGCCACACCACCAGCCCCAGGGCAAGTCACGGAGGCAACCTAGCACTTGTGAAATGCCAGATCGTAAGGTCCCAGAAGAGAAAAGGTGACTTTTTCCCAGCCACTGAGCTGCTTGGCACGTTCTCAGTGCTGTGGGGCTGCTCCTCCATGGCACAGGAGAGCTTGTCCAGGCTGTCCCGGTCTCTCTGCTGGGACGTGGGCTGCAAAAACAGTTTTAACAAACAGAGCCGCTGCGTTTCCCCCCTGAAGGTGACCCAGCTTTCCTGTTTGAGGTCAATCCTGGCGTATTTGTACTTCTGACGCCGTGAAGCCGGCATCCGGCTCGGGTGAGAAGTGGGCATGGATCCTGCACCGCTCAGCCGGGTGGATATGGCACCATGGCTATTGGACAGTATTTCTTCTCCTAAAATCGTGCCCTAAAAGCAGATATTGGGGTGGAGCGAGCCCTGCTCCTCAAACTGCCAGCTCCAGGGGTCTCAGTGCGGGATGGGCTCAGAGTCACCTCTGGATTTGGTTCCCAGCCTGGTCTGGGTTTAACCAAAACCTGGCTTAGCACGATCCTGACCCCCTTGCAGCCAGCAGTGCTGCTCCTGAGCCTGGGGGAAACACTTCCCCCTGGTCCTGGTGGGATGAATGGCTCGTTAAAAGCTGTCACTGCAGCATTCCCCGGCCGTGAGCTCACCGCAGCCCACGAGCCGGCTTTGAACAATGCTCCCTGTTCACCAAGCGGCAAGGAGACGGCGGAGGGAGGGGGGACCTAGGTCAATGGATGGACCAACAGGACCATCCGAAACCCAACCGTGGCCAGTGAGATCGCAACAGCCTTGGATTGGAGACAGAAAGAGCAGGAGTGATTGCGATTTCACGGTGTAAACTTTGCCGCTTGGTTAACGGTGGTTTGTTTTCCCCCCATGGAACCAAAGTGCCAGCAGCTACGAGTGCCAATCCAGAGCCTGAGCCTCCGGCTTTTTTGCAATAAAAGCTGCAATTTCAGGCCGTAATTCGGCAGCGCTAACGGCTCCGGGTGGAGCAGCAGGAAATACCTGCTTCGTGCGTTATTACCCAGTGCTGGGGTCTGCAGGGGAACCCCGGCTGCAAACTGCGAGCCGGCAGCACCTTTAATGTACATGAATGCCCAGTTCCCCTTTGGGAAATAACGCCCTGCTCCCGGGGAGACCGAGACGCATCCCAAAGCCTCGGTGCAGGAATCTGCGCTGTTTGCAGTTCGTCGTCTTGACCTTCACCAGCCACTGCCAGCAAATATTTGCTACTGAGCATCCGAGGGGGGGGACGAAGCGGAAAAACCTCTCCCCTTGCTGGCAAAGGCATTACTGCAAACCCCCCCTCCAGCTCCTGGAGCGTGGGTGGGCAGGGCTGGCTGCCTGTTTTGCAGGCAGCTGCCAGCCAGGACATCCTTCCTCCTGCTTGCTTGGCAGAGTCTGGCAGCTTTCATGGGGCGAATGCCCCCATGGGTCTCCAGTGTCCCTGCGGCGAGCAACCTGCCGGAAAGAAAATGGAGCCGGGGATCTGCCAGTGCCGTGGGGTGGCTTTTGTTCCCAGCAGACGTCACAGTGTGCCGGCAGGGTCCCCGTTTCCCTGTTTATTCTGCAAAATAACACACAAACCCTTAGTCCTGGGGTTTGACAACAACACAGGGGAGGGGTGGGTGAGGGGCGAGGGGTTGGAGATGGGGACAAGCAGCACCAGCCTGGGGGGACACGGTGAGTACGGCCCCCGAAAAGGGGGAGTCGGTGTATCAGTTCACAGTGAGGGGTGGTTTCTCCGGTTCCCGGTCTGACCGTCCTTCTCCCTGCCTTGTCCTCGCAGACGTTCACAGCTTGGTGCAACTCCCACCTGCGGAAGGCTGGCACGCAGATAGAGAACATCGACGAGGATTTCCGTGATGGCCTCAAGCTCATGCTGCTTCTGGAGGTGATTTCAGGTCAGTCCCCCCTACTCCATATTTTTGCTGGGCAGGACGTGTTGGTGTGACCTCCCATCCCTCCTGCCTGTATTGTCAATGTCCCCTGTACCTGTGCTATTCAAAGTGTGCAGGAGAGTCCCTGCAAGGTTTATAAAGCGGCATTTGAGGATGGTGGTGGGTTTGTTGGTTTTTTTAATGTGCCAATATACCTCAAAGCAAGTTTTTTGTCCTGTGGCCTCACCTCCTAAACACTCATCCTCCTCCATGTTCTTTCACTGTTAACCTTAAACAAAAAGCTTTAGTCCTGCTGGCTTCTCCTTTTCAGGGGAACGATTGCCAAAACCAGAGCGGGGAAAAATGAGAGTGCATAAAATCAACAACGTGAACAAAGCCCTCGATTTCATCGCCAGCAAAGGCGTCAAGCTGGTCTCTATAGGAGCTGAAGGTGAGTCTGGACCTCTGGCACGTCTTGGTGGCCCAATCCAGGCCACGGTGGGTAGTGGGAAAACTTGCCAGCTGGCACCAGCACCAGCTCCACCATGTCACCATGACGCGCGGTCTCTGCCCGCTGCCCCACAGCGTGACACCGCGAGCTGGTGCGGGGACCCGACGCTGGCACCCAAAAGATGTGCCGGCAACGCCTGCCTGCGATTTGCCTGACTTTATGGCAGCGGGCACAGCGGGAGCTGGTATTTTGAAGGTGATATTACACACCCCGGGTGGCGGGTGAGTCACGGTGCTGGGCGGCATACCTGGATTGTTGGCATGGGTTTGTCACTGCGGCCGCCGACCGGTCCGCAGTTGAGTCAGCTGGGAGGCGTCGCCGGTCTGGCTGCCGCAGGGGAGTCCGTGCACACCGTCCAGGAAGTACCGAGTGAGTGCTGCTCGCCACGTTGGAGCTCAGAGGTTAAAGGTGGCGCAGGCTTCTTCTCCAAGATCACTGCTCTTTCAGGGATGCTGTTGCGCAACACGGTTTTGCTGGACTCATGAGAAAAGAGTGGCTCCTTCCAGCCCGTGCCCCAAGCCCAGACGAAGTGAGGCTTGCTAGGCAAAGTGTGAACTCCCTCTCTCCTGTGGCAAGCGCCGGACACGCTGCAGGAGCCGTCCCAAGGTGTTTCGGTTGATTTTCAGCCTGCAGGCGGGGAGGTTTGATGATCGATTGAAGGCTTGGCTTCCTGCAGGGCCCATCGCATGGGTACCTGCTGCTGCCTTGACTATTTGCCATTGGTGATCGGGTGAAAAAAAAAACCAAACCTTTAGAAAAGCCAAATATTTGCAGCTGCGTTGTTCCAAGTCCTTCTGCCTGCTGTTCCCTTTGAGCCTTGCCTAGTGTTCGTACTGGCAGGAAAAGCATTATGGTTTAAAAAACAAAATTCCTCCCATTAGATGAGGATCTCTGATTTTCCTCAGTCGCAGGGTTCTCCAGGGCCAGGCCAGCTCCCAGCTCTGCCCCAGCTGTGTCGATTTGGTCCGTCCCCATGAAAATCAACCTGGGCAAACGGAGCAGAAAAAAACCTTTGCTTCGGTTTTTCTCTGGTTGCACATGAAACAGAGCATGTCCTTTGCCTTGGGGAACAGGCTCAGCATCGCCTTTGCACCAAACACGTGGACGTCAAAGAGTTCACATTGCAAACACCAGCTTGACGTGGGAGAGGACGCGGCACCATCGCGGTCCTGCAAGCCAAGAGCCTGCCAGCTAAAGAGAAGCGGGTTAAACACCGGATTTAATTCCCTCCCTCCCTTGTTCTGAGGTCTCTGTGCTCCTCCCTGGGGCTGGGGGAGAGGATTTCCCGGTCTGCATAGCAGCCAGGACCGCTTGCCTTGGGATTTACTCACTGCTGACAAAGCCCAAGGGCTGCCCCAGAGCTTTGGGGTGGTTTTTGCAGGGGACAGGGCCCCGTTTGGCAGCAGCTCACCTTGCAGAGCCAGTTTTTGAATAGGCTGGAAGACCGCAGCTCGCTCCAAAGTTATATCTTTGAAGTCTTGTCGGCTGGCGTTGCTTGCCTTGCTGGGGAACACTGCCTGTTCCCGAAACCGGTGCATGTTCCAACTGGTGCCACATTAAAATACAAGATGCGAGGGTGTGGTGGCGGTTACAACAGCCATTTATCCACCAAAGTCTCCCACACATCAGCTGAATGGTCACTGCAGGCAACTGCTCCTTGAGCATCTTGACTTAATCCCTCAACCTCCCCCCAAAACAAGCGCTTGGGTTGCTCAAGAGGTGAGAAATGTCACATCTGCTTGTTCAAGGAGATACCTTCCAGCCTCCCTGGCCAGGAGTGGGCCAGAGCTTCTTGGGAACCGTGGTTCCATTCTCCTCGGTGGTTGAACAAGCTGTCCCATCAGCTTGGGATGCCGCGGGCTGTGGCAGGTCACCGTCCGGATGCGCTGAAGATGCGGCTGGCCCAAGGTCTGGCAGAGACGGAGCTGGGCATTAACACCACCATTGTGAAACTGAGTTTGCAGACGTTTATTTTGGAGGATGTTTGTTCCAGTTCTGGACTTATTTGGTCATGAAAGACATGGGACAGGGATCCGACGTGTTGTGGGTGAAGAGCAAGCAGCATGTTATGGGATCGTCTCATCGCTTCCGACGTACCAGACAAAGGCGCGCAGCGAAATCAAAGCATGGGGTGGGTTGGGTGGCGAGCCCAAATCTGGGCTCTGGGGTGCTGCTCCGGCAGCTCCTGCCTGTTTCTCTGTACCCAAAGGCAAAGCAGGGAGGGGAAGAAGCTGCCTGCATGCCGGTGGCATTCTCTGGCATCCTGCTCCCCTGAAGATCTTACGAGCTCCTCGCCTGTCCTTCCAAGCTGCGAAGCAACTGGTGTCTCTCTGGATGTGCTGGAGGGGCAGTCCTAGCGTTGGACTTCCCGATGAGGTGCCGGAGAGCCGCAGACCTTCCCCGCTGGCTCCCTGCTCCCGCATCTCTTGGAGTTACCCGGTAGATGGGAAGGGACAGTGGCTGTCTCCAGCCGTGGGAAGCTGAATGTCTGTTTTTAACCTTTGGCTTTCAGAGATAGTCGATGGCAATGCGAAGATGACGCTGGGCATGATCTGGACCATTATCCTCAGATTTGCCATTCAGGACATCTCAGTGGAAGGTAAGGGGTGGGGATACGTGCACCACAGGCGGCATCACACACCGAATCCACTTTCCGAATCTGCTGGCAAGGCTGCTCCGGCTGGTTTGTGACCTGCTGTGTCCCTTTGCAGAAACCTCGGCGAAGGAGGGCTTGCTACTGTGGTGTCAGAGGAAGACGGCTCCCTACAAGAACGTCAACGTGCAGAACTTCCACATCAGGTAACCCTCCTCGGCGTCCGCCTCGGCTCTGAGATCCGCTCCTTCACATGCTGCAGTAGGCATTAGTGCTGCTCCCCTGGGCTTTGAGGCTCCTCTGAAATATTCAGTGGCGAAGCTTTCAGCACAGCGCGGCTGGAAGGAGAAAATGCAGCTTGTGCTATTTTTTTGTTGTTCTCCTGCTGCAGTTACACCTGAAATCATAGAATAGTTTGGGTTGGAAGGGGCCTTTAAAGGTTATCTAGTCAAGCCCATAAATATCTGCCCCTTATCCGGGCTGCCTTTCCTGGAGAGGTTTTCCAGGGTCGGAGGAAGATGCACAATTCATCTTGGCCTTTCTACTATAAATTAGTGAACCGAGGAGGGGTGGACAAGAGGGATGTCAGGGGATCCACGTGTGCGAATTTAAGCCCTGTGCTGGCACAGAGATCTCACTCTCCGCTCCTCTCTTGCAGCTGGAAGGATGGTCTTGCTTTCAATGCCTTGATCCACAGACACAGACCGGAGCTCATCGAATATGACAAACTCAGAAAGGTAAAACTCAGTGGTAGTGCAGTCTCTTCTCTGCTGCTTTTCTCGACTGAAAACCGAGCTTTGAGCTGGTGGAGAAGCACGGCTGTCTGTCCACTCATCTGCTTAACTGCCTCAGCAAGGTGTCTGGGCTCCCTGCAGCCCTCGGCCACCAGCTCTCTTCATTAGCTCTTCTCCTCTCTCTAGGATGACCCCGTGACAAATCTGAACAATGCCTTCGAAGTGGCAGAGAAGTACCTTGACATCCCCAAGATGCTGGATGCAGAGGGTAAGCTCTCCGGGTGTTTCGAGCTGTAACGCACTGCCAAAGGGTGACGTTGTCCACATGCCATAAACATCCGGGTCCTTGATGGAAGATCCACTCCTTTGGGTGCCCAAGGAAGTGTGCCAGCGGCCAGCCTTGCTCAGAGCAGGGGAGGGAGGTGGTTTAACGTCAGGGCACTGTATTTAACACACTCTTCTGCCCATACAGGTATATTTATCTGGCTTTTAAGCACTGCTTGTTTGTGGGATTCCAGCCTAAAGAGGAGCTGGCTCCTAGGCACAGCGTGGAGAGCGAGCCTGGCTCGTGCCAGAGGTGGCGAACATCCCCCTCTCAGTCTAACCCTTGTTGTTCACTTGCAGACATTGTCAACACAGCTCGCCCCGACGAGAAAGCCATCATGACCTATGTGTCGAGCTTCTACCATGCCTTTTCTGGGGCTCAGAAGGTACCGGAGGCAGCTGTGTCCATCTTGCTGTAACATTTCCGACTGCAGCATCCTACACTCATGCGACTTCTCTTTCAGATGGCCGTTTTGTCTCTTGTTGACTTGGGAACCAGGCCTCAGCTCGTTCACATGGGTTTAAAAAGCCACTCGGCTTCCCCAAATCTGTCTGTAATGTGACACTAGTGCAGCTGGGCCAAGGGGCTGGCAGAGCACCAGCCTGGCACTAACCTGGGGCAGAAAGGAGCTTCCTGAAGCTGCTTAATGAGTCTTGGGAGCTCAGATATATCTCAAAACGAAGCCTCAGCACTTTCTAAGAGGCTGAGCTATTAAGCAGGGGAAGCACAGCGGCAAAAATAACCCCATCAGCCAGCTCTGGTTTGGATCCCAGGTCCCAGCAAGCGCTTGTTCCCCTCCGCTGCATGCCCGAGGGGTGTTGAGGATTGCCGTGCCGCTTCTTCACCCTCTCTCCTCCCTTTCTCTCTGCGCAGATATTGTAGGCACTCTCAGGCCCGATGAGAAGGCCATCATGACATACGTTTCCTGCTTCTACCACGCTTTCTCGGGTGCTCAGAAGGTGAGCTTTGCTGGGTGGAGCTGCGCGCTTGGGTCAAGCTGCTACTAACATCGGACCTTCGGTCTCCCGAGGGTTGTTGCGCTGCTGCACGGCTTCTGGAAGCATAAAAACGGGGCTAGCTTTAGCTCCGCTTCACTCGGGAAAAGGGCAAAGCATAAACTCCTGTCCAGGAGGAGAGCTGGGCTGGCTCCTGCACTGGAGAAGACTTTCCAGGCTTAGCCTAGCTGGGCTTTTGTCACCGTATGGGCAGGAGGTAACCTGGGTAAACTGAGGAGAGCCCGAGTCCTGGTTTGCACCACGACCTGGGTTTCTGATGCATCTCTTCGGTGCAATCTGGGCTTGCGAGAGCTCGAGGTGATGTCTTAAATCAGCTTTACCTGCGGGCTTGGGGAGAGGGGGGGCTGGTGTTCCCTCCAGCCCAGTCTGAGACCTTCGTTAGCGAGACTCGTTAGACCAGCACTCAGAGCCAGGCACGAAATCCGTCATCGTGTCAGGGTGCTGCCTGTCACTGTGGGGTGCCTGGGGAGGGCTCCTGACCTACCTCCCCGCTCAGTACCATCACTCAGCTGCCCTTTCCTTTCCTTTCCTTTCCTTCCTTCCTAAACATCTCACGTTAGACCCAAAAGCGAGGTGGCTCGCAGCGTGGTGGGTGTGTTTTAAGAGACATTGCTGTTTCGGGCAGATTAGCAATTACCATTTTGTGCTAATCAGAGGGATTCAGGAAGCGAGTGAGCCTTTCGGACAGCTGGAGGCTGAGAAAGCCATCGGCATGTGAAGAGCTGGGGCTGAACCTCAGCTTGTGTGGAAGCAAACCAGGTCTTGATCCGCACAGCTGAATTGTGGTCAGACCCCTCCGAGTGTGGCCAGTGCCAAGCTCTCGAGGACGGCTGCCCCACGGCACGGGCTGCCACTGCTACCCACGGCTTTGGGAAGCTGCTGTCCCAAAGGGGGGTAAACCCAAAAGGCAGAGACCCTGTCTCTGCATGGCTCCACCGCCGACAGCTGCTCTGCAGGCGCTGGCATCGCAGGTTTTACACTGGCTGGAGGTCCTGTGCAGCTGTGGGATGGTTAATGAAGGTTGGGGTTAATTTTCTGGCTGTGTGAAACCCCTGCAGCAGCAGCCTGCATCTGGAGCACTGCAAATCCCAACCTGGCAGGTGGTTTTTATTCTTGCTGGTCCGCTCCAGGCTGGTGTGCCCTCCTCATCAGCTGGCCTCGATTAGCTGCGGGAACATGTGCTGTTTTCTTCTGCGCCGTGCTGGGAGGCGGCAGTGCCTGGCTTCGGCGGGGAGCGTGGCTAACATGGTTAAGCCGCACCCGGGGGAGCAGGAGGAGCAGCCCGGTGCCACATCCCATCTCCCTCCTGCCTTTTCCTTGGGTTTCAGACCTCTGATGCCTAGCTTTTCTCTTTTTATTTATTTATTTTTACTTTTCCCCTGTGGCGACTCGTTTTTCCTCTTCCCCATCCTTCTGTAGACCCTCTCCACTATTTCTGTTGATGTCTGGCTTTCAACTCCTCTTGGACTCTTTCTGTGCTGCCTACCAAGGTACTCGATCCCCCAAGCTTATCTTTTCTGCCTCCTCCTCACCTTCCCACCCAGTGTAGAGAGGATCTGCCTTCATGGAAGAGCAGAAGACCAAAGGATGGTGCTTAGAGATGGGTAACAAAAAAAAAAAAAAAAAACAAAAAAAAGAGGAGCAGCCTGGGTGTGATGGGCTTTCTCCTACTCCATGGAAAGCAGTGCCTGACCCCGGCAGGGCAGCGCGCCTCCGGACAGAAAGCAGGGAAGGAAAAACACTGGGGCAGCGCAGGTCTTGCTCGTGACAGTAGCACGCTCAGTGTGGCCACAGGCTTCGGGGCTCCAGCACTCGAAACCCAAGTTTGCCTTGTCCGTGAAGCTGTTGGTAAGGTTTGACCCACGATGCTCATGCGGAGGTAGTGATGCTGGAGGTGTGCTGGAAGTCGCCTGTGATGGTCTTGGGGAGCCTGACTTTCTGCAGCCTCGAAACCGGGCTGCGTCTCCCCTGCACGGTGCTCAGAGATCCTCTGCACCCAGCCGGGCTGCCGGAGGGGGATGCTCTGCGGCTCCCAAATCCCCCAGGCCAATCGGAGCGCTGCTCTGGCAGAACAGGTCTGGTTGGGATGGGGACATGCGAGTTGGGGCACCACAGCTTTCCACAGCTCTGAATCCTTCCTTGTGCTGCTCTTCCCCTCCAGGCCGAGACCGCAGCAAACCGCATTTGCAAAGTGCTGGCTGTCAACCAGGAGAACGAGCACCTCATGGAAGACTACGAGAAACTCGCTTCTGACGTAAGCTACCCGGCCGCTCCATCACCGGTGGTGTTGGGGGGGACCCGTGCCCCCTAAAGCCATCCTCCCTCTGCTGTTCTCCACCTCCCACCCATCAAATCCCATTCCCCCCCACAGCTGCTGGAGTGGATCAAGCGTACCATCCCTTGGCTGGAGGACCGCAGCCCGCAGAAGACCATACAGGAGATGCAGCAGAAGCTGGAAGACTTCCGTGACTACCGGCGCGTCCACAAGCCCCCCAAAGTGCAGGAGAAATGCCAGCTGGAGATCAACTTCAACACCCTGCAGACGAAGCTCCGGCTGAGCAACAGGCCTGCTTTCATGCCCTCCGAGGGGAAGATGGTCTCGGTGAGCAGCTCCTGGAGCATCCTACGCTGGCAAGGGGGAGTAGAGTTGGGAGACCAGGGGGTGATGAGGTGGAAGGGGGGGTCCAAGCATTCTGAGTACTGTGGGTGAGAGCATGGAAGCTGGAGCTCCTATCCTGTGCTCCCAGAGGGGTTTTGGAGATGGATTCCTCTTCAGCTTCTCCCAAAACCCGCGCTGATGTAAGACAGGGCTCCCAAACTGGCCAGAACAGCTTCGGAGGGGGAGGAGGGGACCCTGCTGCTGGTGGCAGTGACAATGAGGAGTTGGGGAAAAAACAGTCATTCCCACCCTGGTGGACCCCTGAGCCCGAGGCCCCTCTGCCTTGTCCCCAGGACATCAATAACGGCTGGCAGCACTTGGAGCAAGCTGAGAAGGGCTATGAGGAATGGCTGCTGAACGAGATCAGGCGGCTGGAGCGGCTCGACCACCTGGCTGAGAAGTTCAGGCAGAAGGCATCCATCCACGAGGCCTGGACCGAAGGTAGTGGGTCGGGGGGGCACTTTTAGGTGGCGGGGGGGATGGGGAGGTTTTGTGTCCATCACAGGCGGGTCACCCTGAGAGTGACGAAGCTCTCGGAAAGCACCTTGACCCTATTAAAATCTGTGAGCTGCCCTGCTTCTCCGGGAGCAGGAGGGACCATCCGTGCTGTGGACTGCAGCAGCGGGGCCAACATGGTGGCGAGCTGCTGGTGTGAGCAACCAGGGTCCCTGTCCCCTTTCCCTGCTCTAAGATCAGCACGTCTTGGAGATGCTCTTTGTTATTTCAGGGTTTCTGGATACGTATCAGCTTGGGCAAGGGGAAAAAGCTGTTCGTTTGGGGTCTGTCTTCTGAGGAGATGCCTCCTGCAAGCCGGAGGACTCGCCTCGGTGCCTCTCCGAGCGCATTCAGAGGGGGACAAAGTGTCAGCCCTGCCAGGGAGGTGACAGCCCTCGCTCCTCTGTCCCTAGGCAAGGAAGCCATGCTGAAGCAGAAGGACTATGAAACCGCCACCCTGTCGGACATCAAAGCCCTCATCAGGAAGCATGAAGCCTTCGAGAGCGATCTGGCAGCACACCAGGACCGCGTGGAGCAGATCGCAGCAATCGCGCAGGAACTCAAGTACGTCTCCACACCCTCGAATACTCCGGGGACCCTGGGACACTCTGAGCTTTGGCCCCTTCCTCCCCTGCTCTCTGCAAAACCTTTCGTACCGGGAGTCTCACGGCAAAACCCGGACCGCGGCTCACCTCCGAGCGCCGCGCCGGTGGCTGCCTCCTCTGCACAGTGCCCCTATTGTTCTGCCTGTCCCTTCCCCCTCCTGTTTTCTCCACTGCTAGAATACGGTTATTGTAAGGCAGCCTGGGCAGCCCAGCTCTTTTTTTTCTTCCCCCCAGTCAGATAAACTTGCACACAATTAGTACACTGAAAGCCAAAGGCAGGGCCAAGCCATGAATGGAGCCCTTATTCCAGTGGCCTGAGTCACTGACAACCGGGAAACGGGGACATGCGGCTGAGGAGCATGGAAAACGCTGCAGCAAGGAGCGAGGCAGGAGCCGAGGAGCCGTGGCGGCTCAGGCAGGAGCCGGTCTTGTGCGTGCTGGGCTTTTAATGAGCTCCGGTGTCGCCGTCGGCAGAGCTTGCCCTGCTCGCCGCCTCAGCGGGAGCTCTGAAAGCCACTGGAAGGGCCGCTCGTAGCTGAGCACGTGCCTGCGTTGGGATGTGGCTGGCAGTGATGTGGGGGGGCTTTAGCCCATCCCAAAGCGGCTCTCGTGGTCCCTTCCAGCCCCAAACTCTGCACCTGCCCCGTCTCCTCACGCTGCTGTGTTTCTTCCCCCTGCTAAAGCGAGCTGGATTACTACGACTCGCCCAGTGTGAATGCTCGGTGCCAGAAGATCTGCGACCAGTGGGATGTTCTAGGCTCCTTGACACACAGCAGGAGAGAGGCTCTCGAGGTAAGGACAACCCGTCTCCTTGCTGGCTCCCTGCCCTGGATGGAGGGGACAAGACCACCATGGTGTGGGGGTTTCCTCTGCTCCTATAACTCCTCCCGGCCACGTGCAGAAAACAGAGAAGCAGCTGGAAATGATCGACGAGCTGCACCTGGAGTATGCGAAGAGGGCGGCCCCCTTCAACAACTGGATGGAGAGCGCCATGGAAGACCTTCAGGACATGTTCATCGTCCACACCATCGAGGAGATCGAGGTAGGAGGCCGCGGGAGGAGAGGTGCGATGGCTCTGTAGCCTTCAGCTTTCTACAGAGACGTTTGCCTCCTGTTTTGAGATGGCTGCTTGGCCGTTTCTCGTGCGAGCTCTGGGGTCTGCAAGATCCAGGGAGCTTCTCTTGGGGGGAAGGATGAGCTGGTATAAAATCACTCTCACAGCAGCTCCCCAAACCTGGCCCCAGCCTCTAACCCACATCCTGTCTCCTGCAGGGACTCATTGCTGCTCACGACCAGTTCAAGTCCACCCTGCCCGACGCCGACAAGGAGCGTGAGGCCATCCTGGGCATCCAGAGGGAAGCACAGCGGATCGCAGACTTCAACAGCATCAAGCTCTCTGGGAACAACCCCTACACCTCTGTAACCCCGCAAATCATCAACTCCAAGTGGGAACGGGTAAGTGCCTCCTCCAGCATCAGCACCACATGTAGCCAAAGCGCCAGCGAGGCCATCTGTTAGTGTGCCAGTAAATAATGAAGGGATCGTCTGTGAGGCTGTAGCTCCTGCTCCCTCCACAGCCGGACGCTCCACAAGTTCCTTCCCCTTGTGCCTGGAGCACCGTGGGTTTCCACGGCTGTGCCTTTCCGTAGCCACCTTTCTGAAATACCTCGATCCCCACAGCCCGGGCAAAGGTTTGTCCCCGCTGCCACATGGTGCCCGTGGCTCTTCCAGCGCCATCCCCTTCTCCTCGCAGGTCCAGCAGCTGGTGCCAAAGAGGGACCATGCCTTGCTCGACGAGCAGAGCAAGCAGCAATCCAACGAGCATTTACGTCGGCAGTTTGCCAGCCAGGCCAACATTGTGGGGCCCTGGATCCAGACCAAGATGGAGGTGAGGGCTTGGCCGGCATTGGAGATGGGTGGCTGGCAGCGGTTATCCTGGCGGCTGGTGGGCTCTGCCGGAGCCGGAGTGCCATCTGCCGTTCAGAGGGCTGGGGAGGGCAGAGCCGCAGCCTCGGAACCTCACTTTGGAGCAAGAGCTGCCCCGTGTCTGCATTGCCCTGGCTCCAAAAAAGAAGGGAAAGCGATGAATCCGTTGATAAAATCAGCCCGGTGCACCCCGGGGCTCATGCTTAGGCTTGCTAGCAGCTGTCAGCCCCCGCGTCAGGCATAGGCGGATGGATGGGTTGGTTCAGAGCTCATGGAGTTGCTCCTGGTGTGCCCGATCCTGACCGGGCCCCGCTGGGGTTGTTTTCCCCCTCTCCACCTTCCAGGAGATCGGGCGTATCTCCATCGAGATGAACGGCACACTGGAGGACCAGCTCAACCACCTCAAGCAATACGAGCAGAGCATCGTGGACTACAAACCCAACATCGACCTGCTGGAGCAGCAGCACCAGCTCATTCAGGAGGCGCTGATCTTCGACAACAAGCACACCAACTACACCATGGAGGTGGGTTCCCTTCGCCCGCCCAGACTCGAGGATGGTGAAGGGAGACCTTTGAGCCTTCCTTGCAGAGCTGAGCCAGGCTTCAGCTCTCTCCCTCCTGGTGCACCCAGAGGGTTCGGTGACACCCAAAGGTGCCCTCTCCCTTCTAGTTGGAGCCTTCCAAAGCCTGGGCTCAAGTCGGGGTGCTGGGGTGTCACCAGTAGCTGCTTCCCATCCAGTGACTCCTGCTTCCCTCACCACAAGAATCACCATCAAATGGTGGCATGCCTCAACTCGGCAAGCCAGGTTGTCCCTTCCCTGAGATCCTCACCCCTCCTCTCACCCTCCAGCACATCCGCGTGGGCTGGGAGCAGCTCCTCACCACCATTGCCCGCACCATCAACGAGGTGGAGAACCAAATCCTCACCCGCGACGCCAAGGGCATCAGCCAGGAGCAGATGCAGGAGTTCAGGGCTTCCTTCAACCACTTCGACAAGGTACCGGGGCACCTCGAGCGCGCTGGGGCCATGCTGCCAAAACCTGCCTTCGCGTCTCGGCTGTCGGCTTCCCCTCGGGGCAGGGGTTGCAGAGGGAGCTGACGTGCTGCCCCTCATCATGTGTGTCCCCCCCCAACAAAGCCGCTGCTGCTCTTTCGGAGGAGCAAGACCCACGGGATTATTTCCCCCCCTCCCCGGTGCTGGAACGCAGCCCTAGGATGTGGAGGGGGTGACAGAGCCCTGCTTTCAGCCTCCTCCAGGCAGCAAAGCCAGTGTGCCTTCCACTAACGACATGTCTCTCCCCCTTCCCACACCCGCCCCCGGTGCATGTCTCCGGCCCCTCATGCCCCCCCTCGACGGCTGGCGCGGCTTCCCCCCGTGCCGCGGCGCAGGACCATGGCGGTGCCCTGGGACCAGAGGAGTTCAAAGCCTGCCTCATCAGCTTGGGATACGACGTGGAGAATGACCGACAGGTACCCAGCCTCGCCGCCCTGCGGCCGCAGACGCCATTAACCTCTCTCCTTTCTCTCTTCCTCCCCATTCCGTGGTCTTCCTCCCCTTCCACGCTCCTCCGCCCACATCCATGCTGGATTTCCCCCTGCGACCTCCCTCCCCTGTCGACTGCCAAAAACGCCTTCTTTAACTGAATCTCTGCCTCTCTCTCTCCTCCATTCCTCCCTGCCCTCCTGGGTTTTCCTTCCTCTTCCTCTCCGTCTCTGCATGCGCTCTCCGTCTCTGCCCTCTGTGGCCGGCTCTCTCTCCTCTTCCTCCTCTTCACCCTCTCGGAGTAGAAGCGCACGGGAAGCATGGACACCGATGACTTCCGAGCCCTCCTTATCTCCACGGGATACAGCCTGGTATGCTATCTGCTATTTCCCCCCTTTTTTTTTTCCCCACTTTTTCCCCTTTCCAATCTTTTCATTGCCTGCAAACCTCCGGGGCTGGCACACACTGCAGGGCGGGTGGGAGAGGGCTGGGGGCGGGAGGGGACGGTGCCAAAAGCCGGGAACTACTCTGGGCGCTTCGTTTGTGCCACGGTGATCCCTGACGACTCGGGAGATTCCCTTCCCGTGTGGCGGAGGGGTCTCACGGTGGGCTTGAGCCAGGTCTGGCGGCCATCACCGAACGCCGGAGAGCCCGGCAAAGGTCTGGTGCACCCTCCTCTCACCGCGGTCCCCCTCCCACCAGGGTGATGCTGAATTCAACCGGATAATGAGCGTCGTCGATCCCAACAACAGCGGGATCGTCACCTTCCAAGCTTTCATTGACTTCATGTCCCGGGAGACCACCGACACGGACACGGCTGACCAAGTCATCGCCTCCTTCAAAGTCCTGGCCGGGGACAAGGTGAGGCACGGTGGGGCGACTGGCGACGGGAGTTGTCCCTGCGGTCTGTGGATGTTCATCTCCTTTTTTTTCCCCCCCCAATCCACCCCAGAACTACATCACGGCTGAGGAGCTGCGGCGAGAGCTGCCCCCCGACCAGGCGGAGTACTGCATTGCCCGCATGGCTCCTTACCAGGGCCCCGATGCCATCCCCGGAGCCCTGGACTACAAGTCCTTCTCCACAGCGCTCTACGGCGAGAGCGACCTCTGAGCCCGGCCGCCGTGGCGGCGGCACCGGCAGCACCAAGCGCTGGCGCTTCCCGGCAGGAGCCAAGCCCCCATTTGGTTTTTTTTTTTTTCTTCCGTGCTCTGCATACACACACACACACACACACACCGACACCGGCTGTTCCCTCCAGCTGTGGGGTCTTCCCGGGGAGGGGATCACAGAAAAAGCCACGGGCGCCCCACCATCCGGTTATTGCGTATTATGCCGACCACGTACCTATGCAATGATTTATTTTGGGTTCTGTTGTTTTGTGGTTTTTTTTTTTTTTTTCACTTCGCTCTGCGGGGAGGGCAGGCTGCGAGCTGGCAGGGAGTGGGGGGGGTTCTCACCTTTTAGTCGCTTCGGGTTTCTTGGCAGGGGAGCAGGGAGTCTCAGCGCGCCTGGCAGCTCTGGCTCAGATGGTTATTTTTTTTAATATAAACCCCTTCTATTTTTTCAACTGACGGAACAGGACGGCTGCCAGCTGCTGGCATGTTCAAAGGGAGACCCCTCCTCCTGCCCTGCCTCTGCCCTCTTTTAATTTATGCCTCTCCGTAGCAGAAAATCCGAACGGGGTCTTTGCGGAACTGGCTTCGGCCCCTCTGCCCCAGCTCGGGGATGGGGGTGGGAATCTCGCCCCAGTGCAGCCCCCTCCCCAGCATGTCCCTCCCACCTTGGAGCAGGTTTTTCTGAGGACCAAAAACCTTAAAAAAAAAAAAAAAAAAGCAAAAACGAAAAAAAAAAAAGCCTGATCTTCTAAAATTTAAATGAAAGCCAGAAGGTTCCTATTTACTTTATTAACTTACGGATTTATTATATAAATATATATTCACCTAGCAGCATATATTACCGGTTTTCTTTGTCATGTAATTAAAATATTGCTGATAACTGTTAACGACAGAGACTGTACCATTCCTCACTGCTGTTGTCCCTCCTGTCCTGGGCCGGGGGAGCACTGGGGACCCCCCCCCCCACAGCTGGGACCCCCCACCTCTGCTCGAGTCTGTTTGGAGGATCCTGGGGCACAGGACAATAAAAGGTGTCAGATTTTTAAGGGCAACGAGATGCATCTTTCTCCTTCTGGGTGGCTCTGCTGGGGAGTACGAGGCAGGCAGTGTCCAGCCCCAAAATCCCAGTAATTTGGCTCAAAAGCCCTTAGGAAGCGGGACCCTCCCAGGAAGGTTTCTGTCCTGGGGTTTTTTTTGGAGATTATGGCTGAAATGGAGAAAAAACAGCCAAGCAGATCCGGAGGGGCAGGAGCTGCTGCCACATCCCAGCTCTGCCCCATAACTGCTGGGGGTCCCGGCCCCACAGCCGAGCTGCCCTTGGGGCAGGT